GCAGGATCGTTGTTTGGATCGCTGCTTGCGTGGGATCTTTGCCTGTGCCGGGAGCGCTTTGACTCGTGGACCACCAAATCACAGATTCTGATTGAATCGTGAGGGGTTTAATGATTCTTACTTCGTTTATCGAAGTGAGTCGATATCGGGGAGTATTTATAACCCCTGAGAGAAAATCAGCTTTCGAGACAGTGTTTGCTGTCTTGGCGGCCGAGACAACAAAGACTGTCTCGGGTTCCGAGATAGTAAACACTGTCTCGGGTTCCGAGACAGTAAAACCTTGTCTCAAAAATCGTTAATTGCCCGACAGTTTCTTGTAACTGCCTTTCCACGTTTTGAAACTCCGTTATTTTGGCAGTTATCAACGTGATTCTCGTCCATAACGTTTCCCACGTTTCTTGAACAGTTAGTGACCACGTGTTGGCGGTTATGCAAAGTAGTTTTGGGCCTCTGAGAGCTGTCTCACGTGCGAGACAGTAAATTCTGTCTCGCACGGCGAGACAGTAAAGACTGTCTCGCGTGGGCGAGACAGTAAAAGTCTGTCTCGCCCGCGAGATAGTAAAGACTGTCTCGCATGGCGAGACAGTCCTCGCGTGCGAGACAGTAAAGACTGTCTCGCATGCGAGACGGTCTATACTTGTGTTCTTTTTTGACATTTTGGATGACTTCCTTTTGAGCTGTGTTTGGATTCCTTTCAGCATTTTTTGACGCCTACAGGTGTGTAGCCCTTCGTGTTGTCTAGCACACGGTATATTCCTTTCACTTGGGCTCCCTATCTACACCTCGTTATACTCATTTGAATATTGTACGTTGCATTAACACTCTAATTTGTAATTTTAGCCGTCGATTCCGCGAAACCCGTCGTAACGCTGTGCAACCACCCCGACGGCCCCCACTACAGTCCACCATATACCCAAGGCAATATCCCACTTGCTTAGATCTGAATTTTATATTTATTATGAATTATCTGTAGTTTTAGATCTGTGATATAATTATCTACGTGGGATTATTGATGAATAATATTAAATATATCATAGTAATATGATAAATAACATTTTTTTGAATAATTATAATGAATTAAAAGAATTTATTTCGATAGCAGAATCATTTTTGGATAATTATATTAATTAAAAAGAATTTATTTGAGAATGAAATTATTTTAGAAAAATTATAATAATTTAAAAAGAATTATTTTGGAAAAAGAATCATTTTAGAATAAAGGTAAATAATTTAAAGGAATTTATTTGAAAAAGGAATTATTAATTATAATGATAAATAATTCATTTTGGAAGAGTGAGTATTAAAAAGAACATTTAATGAATATTTTAGAATAATTTTAAAAAGAGTTTATTTTGGAAAATGAAATTATTTTTGGATAATTATAACAATAAATAAAGAATTTATTTTGGAAAAAGGAATTATTTTGAAGTAAATAAATTTATTATTTCAGAAGATTATTTTAGAACGATTTTATGATTCAAATTCTTAGACTTGATTATCTGATATGATATGATATTATTGTACATGATTAGTTGCATTGATTGTTCCTTGTTGTGAATGAGAACTGTTAGCGGTCATGAACGTAGTAGCCTTGCGTGACCTAGAGACATGTGTTGTGTTGACTTAACAAAACGAGAAGAGTTGGGGTGAGAAAGTTCATGTTCATGTGATCGGATATAGTTGTTGATGTATCTTCCAGGCTCGAGCGGGTGAATTTGTGTAGTCACTGGGATTAGTTTGTTGGGTTAAAGTGAATTCGTGTAGTCACTTTAGTTCGTGACCTGTTTCATCACCTAAGCTTTGCCTGAGTTCGGACCAGGCCGAGATCGGATTGCGTGTAGTTCTCTGACCAATTTGTGTAGCAGTATTGGATGCACGTAGGAGATTTGTGAACAGTCAGTTATCCAATGATATGAGCGTTGATTCTATGTGAGATGTGGACCAGTGACCTGTTATAGAATGACTAGTTACATGGCCTTATTACTTAAGGTGATTATGGATTCTTGTGAGATACGGACCAGTTGTATTTCTCTTCATATATAGATCGAGATTAATATTTAATTATCTACAATTTGAGACATATGGTATATACATGAGGGTTTTCTTGTTTGGATTATTTCGCTCGACGTACTACGTCTCGAGTTGTAGATTTTTAAGTATTAATTCCATCTAGTGTATGACCATGTACTTGGATGATTATTATGATCGCTAGCTGCATGAACGACTTGTTACTTGGTTGATTTCCTTGGATTTATTCTGATTATTCTATTCTAGTAGTAAATTATATTTAGATTATTAGTATTTCAGTTGCATGTTTCCATTGTTATTACCATTATTGCATTGGTCGCACGACCGTTTCTATTCTTCCTTTTGGGATCTTGCCGTGTGCCATGCACGCTGACGTACTCCTTTCTCTCGGGATGTACGTCAGATTTAGAGGACGGACAACTATAGTTCGGAGTAGTACAGGAGCCAGAGGATCCTCCGCAGGAAGGCTTTGCAGACGGAGCAAAAGAACAAGTCGAAGTTCAGTTACCTCTTTTATTTAGTTGATGACCCTAGTTTACTTTTGTAGTACTTTTATTTTCTGCCGGATCGTTGTATTTTATATTTTTCCAGCAATTCATTCAGATAGTTTTGTATAAGGGCATGTTTGGCCCGAATATTATGTCTAGGATGATGTTTCAGTTGTGATATGTATTATTTTGTTCTGAGTTATTTATTATATTCTCGCTACTGTGATCGGGGACCTGCGCCTTCGCTTTATATTTGCTTGACGCTTAGCGTATTAGATTGAGCAGAAGGGGTCTAGTACTTATTTCTCCTTAGTCTAATACGTCGCGGGCTTGTTCACGTTTTGATTCCCTAGTATCTTGGGAAGCAAGGCGTGACACGAGAATACAGAGATTTTGGAGAAGAATTACGGCTTTTGTGGGTTTTGGAGGTTTCGATTTTGTTTCCCAAACATGATTCAAACCCGAGCCCACAATCAAATTAAAAATGACATGATTATTTCAATATCTTCAAAAGGATAAATCAGCCATATTTTTATGATTATTTCAATATCTTCAAATGACATGAATTTAAAAGGGAAGGAGATTCTCATAGAGAGTTTGACTCGTGGAGTCAATGATTCAGCAAGTCGGCTCAGGGAACAACAGATGACACACACTCATTTGTGTGAGTGAGAGTATGTTGGTTATTATTATGAGATATAGATCCAAATAAGTGAGTGGATAATACCTTATCTTAGAGATAAGATATTTATAATCCTAATAAGTGTAGGATTATATCTCTAAATCATTTATATATAAATATAGGGTTTTCATGGTGGGGGATTAAGAGAATAGGCCATAAACCTTCACTTAGTCATAATCTCCTTCTCCTTATGAATTCGTGCTTTATATGGTAGCTGTGGGGTGATATGCATGGGGTTTTTTGCTGGTTGCACGGTGTGGTTGCTCTCCGATCGTTGATCAAGAAAGATGCAATGATCTTCCGAATCGGTAATTTTAAACTTGTTGTTTATATTCTATTCTAGAAAGCACGCTAGAGTTTCTTTATTTCCATTGTGCATAATTTAGTTATAAATTATTCCTATCCCATGCGTGTAATTATCTGGATCCTACACAAGCCTAAGGAGAAAACTAGCGGATTCTTTCCTCAAGAGTCCTAGTTCCTCATATAATTTTTTAGACACAGTCATCATCATCCGCATTAACCATTCAGGTTCTATTATCCGAATCTTGTCATGTAAGACTACACTCTCTTCATTTTCTTATTAACAATTGGGTGCTACAATAATTTTTTGTTTACCACGTGAATAGTATTATAAGTTATATATTATACTATTTTTTATTCTAAAGTTTAATTTCTCTTAAATTATATTTTTGGAAAACACTTGAGTACTTGATCATCGCTCCCACCTCTAATATCTAGGGAAAGCCATATATTCAAAGACCTTAAACTAGGGCCTTGGGCTTTTTGAGCTGTGGTCTTTGGCCCAGGCATATATGCATCACACACAAATCCACAGGAATCATATCATCCTCAGCTGCATACCCACAACTCCGTTTCCTAATTGGTCCGACCTTTTTCCTCTGCCACGTTTCTCGCCCTCCAACTTTGCGTTACAGCGGCGCCACTTTTGCCTTGATTCTTGTTCATAATATCCCGTTCGAACATTCCGTTTTCTCTAACGGAATCCGTTACTCTCCGTCTTCTAGAATCTACCACAAGAATAGGGCAAATTTCACAAACGCCCAATAGCTTGAGGAATTATGAGATGCCAACCAGAACTTTGTAAATTGCATGCGGATTTAAAGACTGAAAATTTTTGAAGGCTTTAGAACTTGTTTGTCCTTTATTAAACTATTAGTTTTATCTCTTATTATTTCTTGAATTATTTCCAGTCCCTCCTTGTTTCCTGAACTATTAAATTTGTTCTCTTTTACCTTCTAAACTAATATTTGTCTCACCTAGCCCTCTAAACTATAACATTTAGTTACTAGTTACCGCTTCCTGTTTATTACATTGTGGGTGTTTTAAACGAGTTAACAAGAGAAAAGAGATAGTTCAAGAGGTAAGATGTGACTCAAATAGTTCTAGAAGGCAAGTAGACAATAAATTTATAGTTTAGAGGACACGTGTAGACTAAAAATAGTTTGGAACGTAAAAAGAAACAAAACTAGTAGTTTAGTCAGGATAAGTAGGAATCGAATCCAATTTATAAATTATCATTAATGAACTTAAATGAGAGACGAGAAAACGCACAAAGTTTGTAGGGAATGGTTTTTCATGTTTTACTGAAAAAGGAAATGAAAATTGGTTTTTTGATTTGTTATTTTGTCCTCATGTCATTAGCGATGAGAAGATTTTGTGTAATTTTAAGTTTAGAGGAATTTTCCATGACTTGCTAAAGTGTAAGGGGTTTTCGTGAAATTTACCCACAAAAAGACGTTTCTATTTCCAGCGCGCTCTGCGTCCTCTTCCTTATAATCCCCTTTCTCTCGCTCCAACCCTCTTGTCTCTCTCTCTCTCACTCTCTCTCCTCAACTCTCTCTCTCTCTCGATCTCTCGAAACTGAGCGCGAACATCTCAATCAATGGCGACCGCCGTGGCGACTGAGACCGATAAGATCGCCAATCTCCGAGCCGCCGTCGCCGGACTCGATCAGATCAGGTAGCTTCTCACTTCTAGATTTCGTCGTCTGAGCTCAGAGGTCTGAGATCAGATCTGAGTTATTGATTAGATTATACTCTTTTTGCAGTGAGAACGAGAAATCTGGATTCATCAGCCTCGTATCGCGCTACTTGAGGTAGATCGAGCATCTTTTTTACACCGATTCTACTGGATCTGCTTAGGTTTTGGTTCTTTTCGCTGATTTCTGTTGCTTGATCTTGATTTTGAAGTGGAGAAGCTCAGCAGATCGAGTGGAGCAAGATCAAGACTCCAACTGATGAGGTTGTTGTTCCTTATGAAACCCTTGCTCCGCCCCCTGAAGGTATGTGATCTTTGATCTGAGTTTTTGAGATCGATCGAGTGTTTGATCTTGTTTTTTTTGTGAGTGAGTTTGGATTCTGACTGTTTGGAGAACTGCAGATGTTGAAGCTACAAAGAAGCTTCTGAACAAGCTTGCTGTGCTGAAGCTCAATGGAGGGTTGGGGACGACGATGGGATGCACTGGTCCTAAGTAAGATTTTTAGCTAGATCCGATTATAGATTTTTGAACTTTTCATGTTTATAATTTTTGTAGTAATTTAGTGCAGTATTAGATCTATGGCCTCGTTTTTTTTTTCTTTTTTTGATTTCTTTTTTTCTTATGCTAAATTATTAGTCTCTTTTAGCTAGTTTTTGTTCTAAGTAGGTTAGATACATGTGATAGTGGACTTGGTTATTCTGATAAAAGGACCTCTTGGAAAATCTATTTCACTGTTGATTGTGTATAGTAAGACAATTACTATTCTGTTTTAGTCAAGTAGAAAATAGTGTCTGTTTGCTCTGGTACTTCACCTAGTGAGAACTAGTGAAAATTTCCATATTCAAATCAAAGTACCTCTTATGCTGTAAGTATTATATCACCCATGGCATACTCTGTTATTATAAAATTCATCTGTATGACTGAAATGAAATGACCAAAATGATTTGGTGCATGTACATTATCACTTGTATCATAAAGTTGTTTCTGTGGTCAAGGGCGGTGGTACATTCAAATGGAAGGTGTCAAGTCACACCACCCTATTTGATAAAATTGCAAAAGATAGATTAAATTCATGGCAATTATTATATGATAAAATTGTAAAACATGGGTCAATCTATCACTATTCAAAGTGACACCATTAAAATATGAGTGGCCCGCATATCGGGGTCAATTGTAATTGTATTAGTTAAATTGAAAAGAATGTTTTTAGCGATAATTCAAATGATGCTATTGTGGGACAATTTCAAAACATGAAGATACATAGACGTAAGGGTCAATCATAACTTGATTTAGTTAAATATATTTTTGTACCTCATTAAAGTTCTGATTATATTGAATGTTAAAAAATATATGTCAACTTAAGTGGACGTCCACTAAGTTTCTTAGTCATTGATGATCACTTGATTGAGCTACATTATAGATGATCCGTTCCGTTGAACTTGATCTACATATTCTAAAATCTCAACACACCAAATTTGGGGTGAACCCGTCGTGGTTTGACCCTTCATCCACTCGTATCAATTTTAACGGTTTCGAATGAATAGAACTTTTTACATGGCTCGACGGATGGTCAAATCACGACGGGTTCACCCCAAATTTGGTGTGTTGGGGTTTTAGAATATGTAGATCAAGTTTCACGGAGCGGATCATCCATAATGTAGCTCAATCAAGTGATCATCAATGACTAAGAAACTTAGTGAACGTTCACTTAAGTTGACATAAGTTTTTTTTTTCTCTCTCTCTCTCTATATATATATATATATTATATATATATATATATGAGAAAAATGGGTATGCTTGGTACCAAGCACAAATTGGTAGTGAGGTGTCTTATTTCATCCACTCATTCCAATTCTCAACCACTCCCCAACTCATGTGATTATGGGATCCGATTTCAATGAGTGGAGGAGAATATGTCACCTCACTACTAAGCACAAAAACTTGTGCTTGGTACCAAGCATACCCATTTCTCTCTCTTTCTCTCTATATATATATTATTGATGCCCGTGGTTAAATCTGGAATAATACAGATATAAAAATAGAGAAAATTAAAAGAAAACTGAAGTGCTGTAATTTAAAATTTTTTAACTTAGCTGTTGTGCGTTTGTAAAACGCTGTGTTTAAAGCAATATTTGGCCTACTCCGGTGTTAGGATCTCAAGGCCAAATTGCTTTTAGGAACATCAATACAGTACTGTGGTCTGCACCGATCCAGTACTGTCAAAATCTCCTCAATCTATAGGACCTTTCGGTCAAGGTAACGATCTCCTCGATCTGTAAGACCTTAGTTAAGGCAACGATCTCCTCGATCTATAAGACCTTCTCGGTCCATGCAATATTCCTACGAGCACCGGCTATTTTAAACATATATATCTGTATAAATTGGTCGTTTTTTGAATGAATTTTTTTAAGAGTTTGGGGTCTATTTATAGCGTTTGGGAAAATACTATGCATTAATAAAATAATATTATTTTACTATGCATGTGAGGGCCAAGTCCTAATTTTCTTATGGTGGGGCCCACCATTTTTTTCTTTTTCAACAAAAATTTGGCACCATCCAAGAAATTAATCACTTTTACTTTTGACAAATGAGATTTGTGGGACCCACACTTTATATTTGGTCAAATTTTTTGGCTACACATGTTAAATTAAAAAAAACTATCTAACAATCTCCCATAAGTTTTTTAAAACTAGTGTCGTGCAACGGTGTCGTTGGAAGGACTTGATGTTCCAACTGATAAAGTTTGTAAGCTTTTTAAGTCTCTATATGGACTTAAGCAGGCACCAAAACTCTGGCATGAAAAGTTCAATAGGGTTGTTCGCAATATTAGGTATCAAGTCAGTGAATCTGACAAGTGCCTATACATTAAGGTCGCTGAAGGAAAGGTGGTGATCATCTGTCTCTATGTGGATGATATGCTCATCATCGGGAGTGATTTGGAGATAGTAATATCTACCAAAAAATTCTTATCAGCACAGTTCAGCATGAAGGACATTGAAACTGCGGATGTGATTATCGGAATCAAAATCATATAATCTGAAGAAGGTATTGGATTGTCTCAATCCCATTATGTTGAGAACATGCTAAAGAAGTATGGCTACAACAACCTGCTAGAATTGTCAGTGCCATATGATTACAATAAGAAGATTCGACCGAACACTGGAAGACCAATAGAGCAGCTAAGGTACTCAAAGATCATTGGGAGTCTTATGTACGTAATGAGCTGCACAAGACCAGATATAGCATTCGTTGTAGGAATACTTAGTAGGTTCACAAGTAATCCTAAAAAGCTTCATTGAGATGTTGTCCAGAGATTGATGAGATACTTGAAAGCAACTACATGTCTGGATCTATTCTATATTGGATATCTGGCTGTAATTAAAGGCTATTCAGATGCGAGCTGGTGCTCAAAACCAGATGAGTGCAGGTCTACTGGAGGTTTTGTCTTCACCATGGGTGGAGCTGTCGTCTCGTGAAAGTCCAAGAAGCAGATTATGATTGCACAGTCATCGATGAAATCTGAGTTCTTCACACTCTGTGCTGTAGGAGATGAAGCTGAGTGGCTCAAATGTTTTCTCCGAGATCTTCCATTGACAGAATTACAATGCGCAATTACTATCTATTGTGATAATTAGACGGCGAGTGCTGTGGCAGCAAACTCGATGTTCAATGGAAAGAAGCGGATTATTCGTCTGAAGCATGTCTATTTGAGAGAGCTCATTTGTCAAGGAGTCATCTTTGTGATTGGCGTCCGGTCTTCAGAGAATGTGACTGATCCTTTGACTAATGATCTGAAAAAGGACATAGTCGAAAGGACATAGTCGAAAGGACGTCTGTTAGAATGAGTCTTAAAGTTTTATAAGTCTTACAAATACTAACCATATTTATCAAGTTATTAGTTCAAAGTTTATGCTACTAATGATAAGATAATTAGTTTAAAAATCAAGTAAGATTTGTAAAGTTGGGTGAGTCTTACAAATACTTACAATTTACACCATGCATCTTTTTTATATTCAGTTGGTCTAAAGGGGATTTAAGTCCTTGCAATATCTACCTTATACACAACGATTGAAACGGCGACACCATTACACGATACTAGTTTAAAAAAACTTGTGGGGGATTGTTGGATAGTTTTTTTTAATTTAACATGTGTTGCCAAAAAAATTGATCAAAAATAAAGTGTGGGTCCCACAAATCTCATTTGTCAAAAGTGAATGTGATTAATTTCTTGCACGGTGCCAAATTTTTATTGAAAAAGAAAAAAGTGATGGGCCCCACCACAAGAAAATTAGGATGTGGGCCTCACATACATAGTAAAATAATATTATTTTATTAGTGCATATTATTTTTTCAAACGCTATAAATAGACCCCAAACTCTTAAGAAAAATTCATTCAAAAAACAACCAATATATACAGATATATATGTTGTAAAATAGCCGGTGCTCGTAGGAACATTGCCTGGACCGAGAAGATCTTATAGATCGAGAAGATCGTTGCCTTGACTGAGAAAATCTTACAGATCGAGGAGATCGTTGCCTTGACCGAAAGGTCCTATAGATCAAGGAAATCTTGACAGTACTGGGTCGGTGCACACCAGAATACTGTACTGCTGTTCCTGGAAGCAATTTGACATTGGGATCCTTATACCGGGGTAGGCCAAATATTGCTTTAAGCACGACGTTTTACCAACGCACAACAGCTGAGTTGGAAAATTTTAACTTTCTTTCAGTTTTCTCTGTTTTTATATCTATATTATTTCAGACTTAACCAATGAGTATTGCTTGGTACCAAGCACAAGTTTTTGTGTTTGGTAGTGAGATGACATATTCCCATCCATTCATTGAAATCGGGGCCCACAATCACATGAGTTGGGAAGTGGTTGGGAATATGACACATCACTAACAGGTAGTATTTTCAAAGGCGCTTGCCTCATTGCGCCTCATGCGTCTTATGGTGCGAGGCAGTGACGAAGCGCCTCACATCTGATGTAGCAGCGCCTTTGCGCCTCACGTACATCCTTACTTTGTGTAGGGTACATATAGTACATATCCTCATATAGTTTTATTTGTTAACATTTCAATCGAGTCTTTATACTTGATATTCCATATCCCAAAAAGCAAAATAAATCCATTAGGCCTTTTTAAATAGCCTTCAATTAAGGACAATTACTAATCCTTTGCTTGGATATTAATCTTGATTTAACATTTGATTTAAAAATTTATGAATTTTGCTACTATGTTGGGTGTTAGCATTAGAAATTAAGGCATTATATTGTGATTTTGTAGTAAGATATTATTTATCATGATATTTTTCAAGTAAATTCTAAAAACATGTTTTTTCGCGCTTGATTACATATATTGAAAAATTATGTGTGCGGTGTACACCTCGCATCACTCGGGCGCGCGAATCGCGTTGCGTCTTGCGCATGTGCGCGTAAAGATGCTTTGCGCCCCGCATTGCGCTTCGCGCATTGACAACACTGGTAGATTCTTTCAGAACTTCCCCTATAAGAATGAGGGGATTGTTACCGTAAATAAAATAGTTCAACTTTTCATGCTATAACCCTCTACTAATCCGTGAATGGTATGACCATCTAATTGTATGCTAGTGTTCTGATATAGTCTGTACTCTACATTGTGACACTCCTATCATAAATTTTTGGCTCCGCCACTGTCTGTGGCTGATATGGTGCAGTATGGGCGCTTATGGCACTCTTTCATTTTATGTTGCTAACACATTGAAATTTAGGACCCTTCATCTACTCCTTTCGAATATTTTTCACGGCCCTGAAATAATTGTATCAGGCTAATTGCAAATGGGGTATTGTTGCAATAAGAAATAAAAATTTGCGTGGAATAAGTTTGGGACATGCTTTCATCAAAAGAAGGTATCTTACATGAAGATGAATAATATCAAGAGCCAAACACCAGTGCGTGTATAAAGTTGTGGAAATACAGAACTGTTTATATGTAAATTAATCTTTCTTATTTATAGAATATGAGATGTTGAATTGTTTCCATGCTAGGCTCTGCTTGATTGATTTTGAAGTTAAAAATTGATTGACTTCTACCATTGCCTGGTTGAACGTAAAGTACTGTGGAAATACAGAACTGTTTATATGCAAATTAAGCTTTCTTATTTATAGAATATGAGATGTTGAATTGTTTCCATGCTAGGCTCTGCTTGATTGATTTTGAAGGTAAAAATTGATTGACTTCTACCATTGCCTGGTTGAACGTAAAGTACCTTAGAACCCCAAGACCATTTTTAAAGGAACTACCTACATAAGTAATGTTTTTAATTTAAACATGAATTATAGCATATTGTAAATCTTAGATTCATTTCCTAACAATTATTCAGTTGGGCACTTCTTAACCATAGATATTTGGAAAACTTAACTCTGTGAGAAATATTCCAGTAATCATGCTAGCTTTGAATTCTTAATTTTTACATGTACAAATGGCATTGCTGGTTATACTCAATGCTACCCCACCCTCACCCCTCTGGGCCACCCCCCAAAAAAAACCGACACAAAAAAAAAGAAAAAGAAAAATAATTTCTCATTTGACAACCTCCTAATGTAGCCTACGTCACTCCTAAATATCTATGGCCCTCTCTTTTATTATCACTATTTTGGATCTTTTCTGCTTTAAAATTTACACTTTACAAATATGAGCAACTTGATACACGCTGTGTTTTAAAATTTTTAATGGTGTTATTTGACATTGTCTTTTCTCATCAATCTTTCTATTTATACCACCAACAAGCTTGGTTCCTACCTGCTAACTAACTTTCTATGCTTTTGTGATACTTTTTTCTTTCTTATGGTTGCCATTTGGATTTAACTACCTCATGCAGTGTTGATGAGATAGTTGTTCTTGAATAAATGTGATAACCGCCCAATTTTACACAATTACCTGTCCTAATATAGTATATAATTGTATTGCTGAAATATTTCAGGTCTGTTATTGAAGTTAGAAATGGATTTACATTTCTTGATCTAATTGTCATCCAAATTGAGGTAAATTATATATTTGAATTGTCTTTAGTTTTCTTTAAATACTTTTGTAGGTTATGCTGTTAACATTCCACCTTTAGTTTTTAAAAAAGTTTATGTCCAACATGTTCTGTACAGTCGCTCAACAAAAAATATGGGTGCAGCGTTCCTCTTCTTCTAATGAACTCTTTCAACACTCATGATGATACATTGAAGGTGAGTTTTATATTCCTTATATTTAAGATGATCTTAGTGCTCATAGTGAACTAACCAAATGCAAAATCTGTTGTGAAGATTGTGGAGAAATATTCTAATTCGAGCATCGAAATCCATACCTTTAATCAGGTTGGTGCTTTGTATGTGCAAATTTTCTATCATTAAGTTGTTATTGAGCTATAATATAGTGATCAAATATCATTCTTGGATGTTTTTTCTTTAACATAAAATGGACAACTTAGTCTTTATGTTGGTCTACAGAGCCAATATCCACGTATTGTTGTTGAAGATTTTATGCCTTTGCCATGCAAAGGGAACGCTGGGAAGGATGGCTGGTAAGTTGTCTTCACAATGCTCATCTAATCTTGTAACAATTTTTGCAATTCTTTTCCAACATGTTTTATATATGTAATAAAATTGCATAATGTTATCATTTTATATTCTATTACATAAACCATATTATTATTCATCTTGGTTTTGAAGATCTACAACCTCTGTTTGTTGGAAGGAATCAGTATTGTCAAATGCGTTGTTTGCCTTCTTACTAATGGATCTTGTTCTTTAGCTATTTCTTCCTTTCTCTCATCTTCGTTCCTGTAAATCATCTTTTTATTGTAGACCAATAAGTGGTGGAAATAACGTTGACATTCGTAGTTTTCTGGAGTTCTTAACCCAAGTTGAAAGCCTACCATTACCAAGTTGTTTGTCATGGAAACATAATTTGCAAGATATTAAGCTTGCTAGGTGCTTCATACTACTCTCTTTCTTATCTTGGTTCCTGTAGATCATTTTAGTCAATTCTTTATATTATTTTTTTCCTTCAAATATTTTTTATCTTGGATGTGAAAATAGTTTAATATTAGCTTAAGCTAAATGTCATAGGTATGAGTTATGAAGACCTGTTTTATATAATTAAAATAGAGGTTAACGAAACTGATCATTTGTATAGTATCATGAAAACATTGACCTATTTTATATTAATTAAAATTTAAAATAGAAGTTAACAAAACTGATCATTTGTATAATATCATGAAAATATTGTTCAATATGTACTTATTGGGCATGTAAACTTCATATACAAATTTATATTCCGGTCTACACTGGTTTCTTTGCCAGTACGTTGTTGTGAAAAGAACTCAACAAGATGTACCAGAGATTAGTCATTTATTTTGTATCTACTCAACGCATTTGTCATGCTCATAAATTACCAGGAAGGTGTTTGACAGTCAGGAATAGAAGATAGGGAATTATTTCATTCTATTTGTTTATGCGTTTATTTTTCTTGTTAGCATAGCAGACAGATTTGTTCCATTGACTCAAAATATGTGTAAATATGCAGGTACCCGCCGGGTCACGGTGATGTGTTCCCATCCCTGATGAACAGTGGCAAGCTCGACACATTATTGTCTCAGGTTCGTGTTGGAAGGACACTGTTCTTATATAAAGATTGTGTGATCATTGTTTTAATGCTAATCAGTAAACATCCATAATCTTCCCTTTATTTATTATTCTCACTCTATCTAATTTCTTTCAGGGCAAGGAGTATATCTTTGTTGCAAACTCAGATAACTTGGGCGCTATTGTTGACTTAAGTATCCTAACACATTGTTTCCTAGTTTTATAACTATAATTACACATCTGAAATTTTTTCCCAGATATTTTACATTTTATCTCTTTATTCAATTTATAAGCAACCTGTTGCAAAGATTATTAACCTTGACCCAATATAATAGAAATCCTAAACCATTTGATCAACAACCAGAATGAGTATTGCATGGAGGTACTTTTGTATTATCATTAACTTTGAAAAATATTGAAGGAATGACAAGACCATAACGAAATTGTTTATTATGTCCAGGTGACTCCGAAAACTCTGGCTGATGTGAAAGGTGGTACCCTGATCTCATATGAAGGAAGGGTTCAGGTGGGTTTCTGTAAACTAATTATTTAGTTGTCTCCATCATTCAAATTATCCTGTCAAGGGTTCATGAGAAATTTGCTTCGTATCGCAGTTTTATTTAAATTATCATAGCTATGTTATTTATTTACAGACTTGCTTTTATGTACTTAAATTTTATGTTATCTTTGCTGGTCCATGCTAAGGTGTAAGAATCAACCGGTTTTCTATGCTTCTTGACTTCATATTATCATAAATACTACAAAGTGTATTATATTATTACCCCAGGAGAGTGGTGCAATCAATTGTGGTGCTGGGGTAGGAAAGAGTAGTTAAAATCTCATCCTAGTATATTCAAAATGCTATATGTATGAATTATGTATGTATGCACATCTTACAGAGCTTCACTGTGACATAAGTACATCAACTTTATGTCGAAAGGTTATTGTGATAACCAAGTTTTTATATTATCATGTTAAAAGATTAGCAAAAAGAAGCTTTGAAGAGGTGGAATAGCAGGAATACTTTTGAAGTGGTGGAATGGCAGGAATACCAGAACATTGACCTCTAATAGCTAGAAGCAGAAGCCTTCAACCTTTTATCACTAGGCTAGGAAGAGAAAAATTACGCTTAGTATGAGCACGCACGCTCGAGAGGAGGAAACTCTACACCCACAGCTTGCATTTGTTTTTTTTTTTTTTTTACTTGAGAAAGACTAGAAGCTTTCGATAACAGTCTGGAGCTAATTTGTCTCTCGGCTTCCCTTTGATGAAGAAAAAGAACAGTTTTGAGTAATTAGCTAATATGCTGAAAAGACGGTGCATTTCTGTTCTCTGACACAATCTCAACCTCAAGGTAAGTTATGACATTGCTAAGAAGATGACAAGCTAACAGCTTTAAAAAAATATTAGCCGAAAAGAAATGTTACGGTTAGGTGGCATTGCAACTAGAAAAAATATATTTATGCATATGGTTGACACTAAATGGCTCTTATGCATCTTATTGTTTATTTCTTCTTATATGAGTCATGCATTTGTAAGTTTAAATACTTTCTTTATGGATCCGAACTAGTCCAATCAGATCTAACTAACATCTTTTTGGTTATTGGATAGCTCTTGGAAATCGCACAAGTTCCTGATGAACATGTAAGTTTAGAGATTGCATCTCCTTGAATTTCAAATATATTTAGATCTTATTTGGGATGACTGATATATTCCTCTGAATTATCCAGGTGAATGAATTTAAATCGATCGAAAAGTTCAAGATTTTCAACACCAATAACCTGTATGTAAATTCACAATTTCTGCCTTTGATATTAACATGTGCATCTTTTTATATTCTTAGTAAATTGCTATATACAGATGGGTGAACTTGAAGGCTATTAAGAGGCTTGTGGAGGCTGATGCACTCAAAATGGAGATTATTCCAAACCCAAAGGTAGTTCTGTTCTTTATCACAAGCATAAACTTTTAAACTTCCTTTTTCATTCGTTAATACCTGTTAAGTATATTACTGAAAAAAAAATTGTTACTTCCAGGAAGTTGATGGTGTGAAAGTCCTCCAACTGGAAACGGCAGCTGGAGCAGCTATTCGGGTAATGATCAAATTGCACTCTCAATGTTTAAGTATTTTCGCTGCTGTTGTACAGTATGTTCTTTTTAATTTTTTTAACTTTTTTTTTTGTTTCTAGTTCTTCGATAATGCCATTGGAGTAAATGTTCCTCGATCTCGGTTCCTCCCAGTGAAGGCGACATCTGACTTGCTGCTGGTCCAGGTTAAACCTAAATCCCTCTCATGATTAGATGCAAAGGGATTTTGTATTGTTATTGTCTAATGTACGGTCATTTTGCAGTCTGATCTGTACACCTTGGTGGATGGCTTCGTAGTCCGTAACAAAGCTAGAGCAAACCCAGCAAATCCCTCGATTGAACTGGGTCCTGAATTTAAAAAGGTATGCATAGCTGTGAGAACTAGATTTAGTCTAATGTATATGAATATTCATACCGATGTTCCTTTTTTATTAGGTTGGCAACTTCCTTAACCGCTTCAAGTCCATTCCTAGCATTGTTGATCTCGATAGCTTAAAGGTTTCTGGTGATGTATGGTTTGGAGCAGGCATAGTTCTCAAGGTATCAGCTTAAATTGTCAGTGCAGTATATAATTTGAGAAATATCCATGCCTTTAAGAACTACCATAGCCTAGGCTTAGTGAAACTTTTCAGTTTTTCTTACTATATTATTCTTCTTTCTCCAGTGCTCTATTCTTGGTTACAGTTTGGCTCGCATCATATCGATAGGAATAAAATTCCTTTCCCCCCCGTTTAGGTTAAATTTCATAAAACTAGCGAGAACTTCGAAGTGGTTGCACAAGGCTAACATGAACTTTTTTTATTGAAAGGAAGGAAAAAAAAAGCGCGAGTTTTTTTCGCTATATTAGCATGCCTAACGATCCGTTTTGATAAGTTGTCATGTGCTCGCAGTACATGATTTTAGACACTAGTGTACTTGTATCTCTTCTACGTCACCCTTAAGGAACTTGTGTGTACAAGTAAAGTAGTTTACACCTTTTATCCAAAATGTTAACATCGTTATCCTGCAGTTTTAAAACTCCACGATTGTTTCTCTAATTAAAAAAAAAGTTTATGTTAATTCCGTGCAAAACCCTCATCATGGGTGTTTTATGTAATTTACCCTTCACTTTACATATGTAGTCCAGGTTTTGACTATTTTTCCAACATTTTGGTTTCGACCTTGTTGTGTTTCGTATCTAGTCTCAAAGAAATCATTTTCCCGTGAGACTGATTGCGTTGTGTTTGTGTACTGTGAAAAGGGCAATGTGACCGTCACAGCCGGTCCAGGGGAGAAGCTCGAAATCCCTGACGGTGCAGTGCTTGAGAACAAGGTAACGACACTTGCAGCACTCGTCAATTACTTCTCCCTATCCCATTGTTCATAGTTCTTACTAATGTTTTTGACTCTGCCTGTTTCTTTCAGACAATCAAGAGTTCTGCAGACATCTGAGTTTCTTCTTCTTTGCTGTGTTTTTGTCTAAATATGGTGTCTAAGAGATCGCGTGGCACTTCCCTCTGGTGACCCAGAGTGGCTTTTATATTGATAAATCTTATAATGCGTAACAATGTGAATTTTGAACACATTTTGCCGAGGTTTAAACAAATAATATGGATATGTTGTTGTTATCGTTGTTAAATGCCTACAACTGGGTATAGCCAACATGCTCCAAATTTTATTCCCTGCCTGTTATTACCCATTTTGGTTCAAGAACGTTCCGTGCATACATACGCTTGATAACTTCATCAGACTACAACAATCTGCGAAAAGTTTCTTCGAACAAACATTAAAAAAAGGAAAGGTGATAATAAAATAAAATAAAATAAAATAAAATAACCAAGTGGCTAATGACTAAAAAAACATCTGACATTTGTTCTCACTACTCGGTACTCTCTCTCTAGCACACACCATCGCGGACATCCTAATCATCTAACTTGGCATTTGACTCGAACTCAAGGCACGTTCCCCTCTCCCATCTCCTACAAACTCATCAGCCTCCTCAGCAGCCACCATCCCATGAAACATGACGTCCAACAACCTCAACATACAAACAAGCCCGACGCAGCACAGAAACATAGGGACGGCGCCAAAAATCCACAGAAACAACGGAAACGAGAAATAAAAAGCCCTCAACCCGACGGACCAAAAATAGCTCGCCCGGTTGACTACGTCGGCCACGTACTCCGGCGTCAGAAGCGGGGACCTCCTCGCGTTGATTAAAATGCTCGCGTGGTTGTAGAACCTCACGGATTGGATGTTCATCAGGAACGCGACGAGGAAGCACGAGAGTATGAGGAACGATTTTAGCGAGAAGTGCTTTTGGTTGACGACGAGGGTTAGCGACGACGACGGAGAAGATTGGGTCATTAGCATTCCCACCAACGAGCAGAGCGTGATGGCGGTCGACGCCAGGAGGGTTGAGGACATGATGTTGTTCCGGAGCGTTTGAACTGCTAGTATGCCGTTTTTAGAAGGATCCTGAGGAACAAATGGATATTTTGGCAGCGTAATATATAGGATTTTATTCACAAAGTATAAAAGAGTAGACGATTTAAAACGTAGAAGATGCGAAGCAAAATTCCTAGTGTTAATTTTTTTTATTTATTTAAAAATATTGATTTTATAAAAAGTTTATTTTCCTCTTTGCTCTTTGTAAAGAAGAGAAAAGGTATGAATGACCTTAACACTTAATTCAGCTAGGCAATTAAAAGAAGTTCTCTTTAAGCAAGATTTTAACGCTCTCTAACAACAACAACAACAACAACAACAACAACAACTTGAAAATTCTTTTTAAAGTAAAGAAATTTTGGTTTTTCTTTGGTGCGCTAGGGAGGCTGGTTTCCTTTTGTTGTTATTCTACATTAATTATCAAAATGGGTAAGGTATAAAGATCATGCTCATGCATTGTTTAATAGTATCAAATCAAAGCAAATCTTATAGATATACATCTAGTGTTGAAAAGGGCATTATGCTTCTTTTAAGTTACGACTCTCTATATATTCATCGTGATTTACACGTCTTTCTGAATGAACATTTAATTTGTTGAAAGTTTAAAAGAGAGGAGAATCGAATCATTATTAACACTAGCTACAAAATCAAAACTTAAATGTCCAAATAGATAAATATGCATTGAAGTATACTGAGATGAGATAGATATATGAATGTTAAAATACCTCCATCATTGTGTGAACCCATGCTCTTCTGTTGATGGAGTTGATGCCAATCACAGTTTTGGTTGGATGCCTCATCACCATGTAAAGCAGCCATACATGGTAAGCCACCATCAAACCTAACCCTAGTGGAACCAGTACATAATCCAATATACTCATCCCCATTTACTTCTTCTTTTTTTTTATAGTTTTTTTTTTAAACCATCTTTTTTGTATGATGAAGAGATTTTAGAGACTGTTGAGATTCTATTAGATTTTACTGTTCCTTTTCTGGGCCGAAGATCTAGACTTGGTCAGAGGCAAATTTCGAGCCTACTCCACTTATAAGTCCCTTCAGTCTTGCACTAAACATACAATTTCAATAATTTATTGTTTTCAGGGTTAATAAAATGAGATCTGTGTATCACACAAGTGGACTCGGAATAGATCCGATGATACCCATTTGACGATATTCATTTAGGGTCTATCTTTTGCACGGAAGTAGAAATAAAGTAGCAGAACTAATGGAAATAAAAGCTATTTCTGTTACTCCAAACGAAAAAGTATGTTTCTCTACAAAAAAAAAAGTTACTTCCCTTACTTCCTAAAATGTTAATGTGTCGCTTTTTAATATTACGTGAGTATTCTTCACTCTGAATAAAATCGTAAGAGATCCTCCATCTCTCTTCTTAATGATACTTCCAATTGTTATCCAAATAAAAAAATAAAGATGATGAAGTATCATTTCCACCAACAACTCCAAAAATATGAAAACAATGGTACTATTTTCTCGGCTTTCTACTTCGATCCACCTCCTACTTCTTATAATTCCATCATCCAACCTCGATAATTTGTTGGATTTGATTCATATTTTGAATGGTTAAATGTTCTGCATTTCATTTCAAATATGATTATTCTATAAGATCCAAAATAGAGATTCACAAGTATTTGTTGATTTTGTTTTTCTTTTTTGCTACTCATAATGTCATCTACGCGATCAATAAACTTCTGCTTCCCATTAGTTCTCAAGATGATCTGGTGACACGGCCCTGCCGGGGGTTCTTTACCAAATCCTGAACAAACGCAACAATTTGAATATCGCACCAAAAGGTCATATGATACTTTTCATTCACATCAATAACACTTTCCACAAGCACATTAGCAAATAATTACTGCACAGAGTTAAAAAAATAATTAAAAAAACAAAAGAGGACAATAAAACACAAATAAAGTCGGAGAACACTCTTCCAGGAATATAAAATTGAAAACATCTTGATTCCATCATCAAAGTATCTAAGTTCCTTAGAGCAGCAAGAGATATCTGCACTCTTAGAACATACAAATATATATAATACTGCATCCTCAACAATATTGTCTGCCGCGGGACTTGTTGGTCCTCCATTTCCGAAAAGATAAAAACAGGGAGAATGTCTGAAAAATGATGAGAAAACACAAGAATATAAATAAGGAAAAAATTGGAATTACTGAGATCCCACATATTAGAATTTGCGGTTAGCCAACCCCATGTCCCTCAGCTCCCAAAGTGGCTTGCTTTCACTTTCGATATCATTCTTTATCGCTCTCTGTATCCTCTTGATTACAAAAAAGTACTGAAACAAGCGCAAAGAGCAAACAGCCATCTTTCAATATAATTTGCAAGCATCATATATATAGGTAGAGATAAAGGTAAGATAATACACCTGAAACGCGAGGATCAGAGGTATGAGGAGCTTCCCCCTATTATTAGGGTTAGGACCGTCGATCAACTTCTGATCAACTGTGATGGATTTTCCACCGCTTGTGATAACATCTGTAATTGTTTGCACCAAGTTTGGGATCCATGCAGTACCATTGGGAAGGATCTGTGTCTCAAACAGCCCATACTCATGAATAACTCAAAACAGGTTATTAGCACATACGAAAAACAATGAGATAGTAGGATTGATGTTAGAGTAGAATTACCTTTTCCCCCTCATCATTGGTCTTGCATCTTCCACTGTTCTCCACTAAAGCAACTGGAATGGCTTTGTCCTAAGACAAGCAACAGGGCTTGGCACCTTAGTACATGGATTCAAGATATTATGCAGTTTGTAGACCAAAAAATTGCATAACTCAGTGGTCAACACTTCAGAGATTCATATTCTATAGTCGGTTTTTTGGGTGTCCCTAATAGAAGGCTTCACTAAATCTTAGAAGTTGTACATAAATCTTGCCAATGTCGGACCAGCTGTCACAAGTTATCTTTGTCTTTCAAAAACAAATTGATAGACGCAGGTAAAGGCTAACTACTTCTCTTATAGAATGACAATTTATCCAAGCATAATTTTCCCCTATAACCCAAATCCCCCTACTCTCCTAACTGCCCTCTTAAATGAACTTCCAAAGGTAAATTTGACGAGGGGCTGTTTGGTTCATTGATTGCATCTTGATGTATGTAATGGATTTTAAAAAACCCACTTTTCAAAAATCTTAGTTTGTTTATGGCGGATATTAAAGGAGAATTTATATGAGGGGTAATATACAACTAAATTTTGTTTGGTTGCATATGAACTTTGCTGAGATGTGACTAAAGTCACAAATCCGACCGAAATCAGCATAATTTTAGGGAATCACATTCGATGCAACTATCTTACGTGGCAACCCCAAATTCATGAAATCAAGAATGCCAAACAAATATTGTATTTGATAAAAATCTAGAATTTTTAAACTTGTGGGTTCCATTTTTCAATGCGAAACCCACCAAATGCGTGGAAACAAACGACCCCTAAGAGAAACAAAATACAAACAGATAAAACTTGATATGATCCTACACAGAATACAAAATATATAACTGTTACTGCTTCGGCTGCAGTTGTTCCTATGATTACACCAAAAAAGAAGGCAATCCTACCAAGGTTGATACTTATTAGTTATTAATAATGAAAGATATGAATAATTGTATGATCAGCTGAAATAGCATCTAGCTAAGTGACTTCAGATTATAGATGTACTAAAACCAGGTTAAAGGTAACATGCGAAATTTGATGAGGGGCTGTTTGGTTCATTGATTGCATCTTGATGCATGTAATGGATTTTGAAAAACCCACACTTAAAAAATCTTAGTTTGCTTACGGCGGATAATAAAGGAGAATTTATATGAGGGATAATATGCAACTAAATTTTGTTTGGTTGCATATGAATTTTGCTGAGGGTATGTGACTAAAGTCACAAATCTGACCGAAATCAGCTAAGTGACTTCAGATTATAGATGTACTAAAACCTGGTTGAAGAATGGTGTACAACTATATGGAATTCAGCACACAAACACAACATATGAGGCCTTTAATCATTAGCCCATAGAAGGTAAGTCAAATATAGGTGGAAATTGCCAAAACAAAGTCAAGAAGTCATGCTTCGTTTGGTACACGGAAATGAATGAGAATGGAATGCTCATTCCCACTTCTCATTCAGCTTACCAAACACATCATCATTATTGGAAGCTACAATGCTCATTCCAACTACCCATTCATTTCCTTTATGGGAATGGACATTCCCATTGAGTTAGTAGGAAATGAGCATTATCATTAAGTGGAAATGAAAAAACTAAAAAACATACCAAATTTACCTTGGTTGATTCTTAACTAACCATGCTAAAAATAAGAATGTTGGCATTCCCACTTCATTCTCTAACCACACCCAAACGTGACAATGGAAATGAGCATTCCATTCCCACACTAGTTCCATTCCATTCATTACTTCATTCCAAACTCACATGATCTAATTCCCCCGTACTAAACGAGGCGTCAAGATAAAAGGAAGGTATCTAAATGATTGATCATGTCAGTAGATATGGTTTTTCTATAAAAAAATGGCAAAGGTAAAGAAGGAATGGCTTCTAGTGCAAAGGTTTGAAGTAATAAATTACAGGCTAAACATTCTTCGAAGGAAGGGATATGAAAAAGAGGATAATACAAAAAAAATTGGTTAGAAATATTAGTGTCAATTTTTTTGTGTTTTTTTTCTTTCTTTTATTCAGATTGTCAGTCTCTTAGTCGAGCTGGTTGTTTACATTTACTGTTTGCACCAGTAGTCACATCAGCTTTTGATGGAAAATACCTTTATATGCTCTTTAAAAATAACTTATCCAGTGCTACTAAAAAATAAGTAAAATTGAGCATTTTGTAACAATGTGTGGAAGCGAGGAATACTAACATTCAAGGAGATATCTAGGTTAAATGGAATAACCTGGAAATTTTTGAAAGATCAAATACACACCTGAAACTCTTTTTTCTTAATCTTTGCACCCAAACGTATATATTTTAGAAGAGCTTCAGATCGCTTGGCCAAAAAATCATCATAATTCAAGCCATCCGGAGGGGATAGTTGAGCATGAGTTAAAACAACCACAGCCCTCTCCCATATTCCTCTACCAAGAAAGTCAGTGATGGCTTTGACAACCTGTCGATCCAAGTTATCTACTCGATATGCATCAAGTCGATCAACATACAAAAGCACATCAATGGTCTTGTCCAAAAGAAACCTGAAATACCATTAAAATGCTATTACTCTATATCAATATATGCGTCTTCATACCTTAAGCTAAACAACAACAACAAAAGGACATACAAAAAGTGATAACAATAAAGGTTTTTGAGTATGTCTCTACTTCATACTCTGGCTTTATCTGCAATTTGAAGTTGAATGTGACTCTAAATGTGTGAGTGTGTGTGTGTGAGAGAGAGAGAGAGAGAGGGAGAGAGTGTTCTTTTCACCTGATTTTGAACTTAGCTTAATAAATCTCAGGAGATTTTTCCTTTGTTATGTGAGCTGAACTACATGACCAAACGTACCGCTCCTTTCTCTTGTTTTTATCTGGCTATGATTAACACCATTTTAGAGAATTAATGGTCCAGAGGAGAGTTTATTTTAAAAATCTTTCATGGACCCTTTGCTTCACAATTGGGCCCAATTAGACGGGAAAGAATCTTAGACAACGGAAAGCAATGACAACAAATGTGACTATAATGTAAAATCAGAAAGTGTGCAATGTATCATTCAAAGTTTCAGCTACCAGAATTTTCAATTAATTTCAGCCGGCTACCACAGAAACTACTTCATTGTCAACTAACCAAACATTATACCAACCTTTTTATGATCTCAAGAGCTTGCTCATTGACATATCCACCTTCAACAATCCCGGGAGTGTCGATTACATTCAAAGTAAATCCTGCCCGTGTCCTTGAACACATTATGGGTCTCAATGCTTCCGACTACAATCACAAAAACACCAACAACCAAACAATGAATAATAAACCAAGCAAATAAATGCATAAATAAAGGGTTAATTGCACCCCTAAAGTTTTCATCGAATTTAACTTTGGTGGTCTGAAGTTTACATTTGCCCAAATAATACCCAAAAATTTTACCATTTTTAACTTTAACACCTTCCCTTACATCACCCATTAAATTTGCCAAAAATTTCATTTCTTGTTAATTCTTCCTTTCCATTTTGGTTTGGTAGGAGGTACAAGGAGAGAGGGTAAGGTGAGATAAGGTTCAATGAGGTGCAAGGAAGGATATGCATGTTGTGGTTCTTGTTTGGTTGGAGGGGAAGTGAGCAACGAAGGATATGCAATGAGGGCATTAGGGGCATGTGCCCCCACCTGTGATACAAAATTTTTAAGAAATTTGTTTTAATTACAACTCATGCCCCATAGAATTTGAACTGGTGCCCCAAGGCCCCAATGCCAAACCAACTCAAACTGAAACTATCAAGACCCAGCCCACCTACTACACTCAAATTCAAACTACCCAAGCCCGAGCCCACCTATTAAAATCCTTCAATTCTTTTCTTTCTCATGGTCTTTTCATCTCCCTCCATCTGATCGCAATAACCTAACAATTCAACGAAAGAAAAATCCACCAGCAGATCCTGGACTACGTTCACAAATATTAGATTGTGATGATTATTGTTGGAATCTTGTATTTTGTTCTAGTTTGTGTAACAAAAACCAAAATAATTATGTATCGATATGAAATTGATAATAAAAAGTATTAAATATTAATTTCGTGGTTATCATATTACAAGTTTCTCTATTGGTAGAATTTATGTTAGAGAGGCACTAGGGGCACACCCTCTACCACACCTCCAACCACACCATCTCTCTCGCTACAGTACACCGGGCCCACATGAGATTTTATTAAAATAAAATCTCATATGGGCTTGGTGCACTGTAGTGAGAGAGATGGTGTGGTTGGAGGTGTGGTAGAGGGTGTGCCCCTATCATTTCTATTTATGTTATATCGTTTTTAACTTATATGCATAATTGAATATTAATTTCTTTTCTATCGAGGCGTACAAAATCCAAATATTATCACGTGACAATCATGTGATGCCATTTAGACAAAATTCTGAATTTGGGCGTAACAGAAGTTATAAAAGTTGAAATTTACGAAACTTTGCAGTATTATTCGAGCAATTTAATCTTCAGGGTATCCACATTAAACATCGGCCAAACTCTAGAGTATTAAAGTGCAACTAACCAATCAATAAATTAAGCCCCCAACAAAGAATCCATAGAACAAACCTGGAAGGCACTAACAGTGGCCACTCGCTCCCCGAGGATAGAGTTAACGGTGGAGGACTTACCAACTCCCCCTTTTCCCATCACCAAAATCGTTAGAGTGTTCACATTCTAAATTTTTCCCAAAACAAGAAAACAAAGTCAAAACTTCCAAAGCTTTAGATGATTTAGAAAAAGAGCCCAGAAATGAGTCAAGTCGAGCAGATTCGGACCTCTTGCTTCAATCTACCCATGATCTCGAGCAGTTTGGTCTGAGTG